AAGAGTAAATTGTTTTAAAGCTTTGCTACTTCTTCACTGATTGCCTCTTAAAGAAATGTAGTCACATTAGAGCCAAAGTTTCTTGAAGGAAAAATATAGTGATGCTAAATTTAAATATTTTCAGCCTCAGAGACTTGATACAACTTTTAAAAGGTGTTATAATCTTGTCATCTTCAATATTCATGCTCATTATACCACCTGCTAAGCTAAGAGTCCAAGTTTTTAGAGTTTCATAAACTGATTCCATAAAGAAATTAAATTAAGAAGAGTATACATGTAAAGGGATTGGAAAAAATTTAGATAAAGATATGTGACGCTTTTCTTCGAAGCACGTTGATACTGTAATTAGAAAGATTTAATATGGTTTTGAGTTATAAATCACAGTATTTAATTAGCAATAAGTAACAGAGTATATGTATTTATCTGCATATGTATGACCCCAGCATGTGATATGCGCATGCACATGTGTGTGGAAATGTTAATTCCAGTGGTGTTGACCCCTGGGCAGCATAATAGTTCCTTTTTAAAACACATGTCTATGAACTGCCTTTGTATTTTGGCTTGATTTTGTTCCTTGCCCTCTGTGGTATGTTTTATTTTCTATGAGCATGTTATGCGTCTGTTATTTTGTTTCTTGGCTGTATGCTGCAGTATTGCTTGATTTTAAAAAGACAGTACATTCTTTGAAACCCATGATGTTTGTTTGCTTTTCATTTTTCTACCCCAACACAAACACAGAATAGATACTCCATTTTAGGCTGAGGATGCTATAGATGGCCTACACGTTCTTTCCTTAACTCCAAGGGGGAAAATGTTGGGATATGCAAAGCCATGAAAGGTGTGTCGACTTTTACATGCTTACTGTCTCTTTAAAAAAGAACTTCCGTCCTTTCACCTGTCTGTTTGCACGTGTTTCTCTTTCCCCTCTTTGCCTTTTCTTGTCCATGCACCTGGTGCTGTGCAGGAGATTCAGGAAGAACACAAGGGCTACCCTTCTGAAGCTGAAGCTGATCAGGTGGCAAGTTCTGCGTGTTCATCTGTTTGTAGTTACAGATCGTGTATTTAGAAGCCATTTCATACTAGATTTCTAGACAATCAGCAAATGCCTTTTCCACTACAGTAGTACTCTCCTGTCCAAGTTTGGTAGATTCCATTATGACATTATTTGCAAAAATTGGTTTATCCAACATTTTGCCAACCAGAAATTCGTTCATCTCCGCTTCTTGGTTTTCCCAGGTAGATTTACTGATGAGGTTAATGAGCCTCAGTCATGACAGGATTCTGAAGTGCCTTCACAAAGACTTAGAGGGGCAGATGCATACGCTAAGGGTGCTCCTCGAGGGTGCAAACTTTGCTTTATTCATATTTGCAAGGTCTGTACCCAGCACAGCACCTGGCACGCTGTAGGTGTTTGTGGAATGAGCCCATGTATTTTATAGAAGGAAAAAAAATCATTCATCGAGGTTTCTTGAGTGCTTACTCTTTGCTCAGTACCTCTGGACTCGCAGGAGTTTTTTAAAGCAGCAGAATTTTCCCCAAAGCTTATGTATGAAACCTCTAGAAGAGCTGCTCTAGGGAAGCATGGCAAATTCCCTGTGCTCAGTTGTGCCTTTGCCCAGCCCAGCCTCCTTTGGTGACCCTGGGAGCACCCTGAAGAGCCACTTTGAAAAGCACTGCTTTCGGCAGGCGGCTGCCACAGAAACTGTTCACCCAGCGGCCTTAGGTTCAGGAGGAGGAGAGCGTAGCGGGGAGGCCCGGAAGTTGGCGGGCCTTCAGCTGGACGCTCCTTCCGGGCCGCCGGCACAGGGCTGGGGTGAGACCATCAGAGGGAATTCCTCAACTGGGCAACACCTTGAGCAAAACACCAAGAGGGCTGGGTGTGTTCACGAGACACCTTTTATCCATAAGGACATTCCCTCTTTGATTATGCTGTACATGGGTTGGATAAATCAAGGGTCAAATCATGTCCTGTGCAACTTGGAAGTTGCAGTTAAAGCTTAATATAGCACAAGTGTGAGTGCTATCTCCTAACACCAGCTTTACAGAGGGAATCTACTGTACTCGCAAAACAGTGAGCCTTTAATAGCCATTCTCTCAAATTCCTATGCTAAAGCTGAATGTCTTTCCTGTACACAGCGAACCTTTTATGGGGATATCTGAAGCAGTAGGATCAATTGGTTTGTTTTATTCTGATAGTTGCTTTTTCATCACCTAAAGAAGCATGTCCTAGATTTAATTATTAGTGAGAGGTTTGTCTCACTCTGTCTCACCAACACGTTCATGCTTCATATAAATGCACAAGTATTTCAAGCCAGATTTAACATGATTATCAGAAGAGAAGAGAAACCTGTGATCTCCAGCCTCTATCTTGAGAGCCTTGTACCATCTCAAAATGGTTCCAATCACTGCACCTCCCATCAACGACATTTTATTAGTTAGTCCTGGGTTGAGGACTTTAAAGTGTTTGACATGACCTGCTATAAAGCTTAAAGTGAATCAGACTTCCCCTCGCCTCTTCCAGATTCAATTGATTAGAACAGCTTGCTTCAGTAAATATATTTCAAAATAACCTATTCCCATTTATTTTTAAATATCAGTTAAGGAATTTAAGTCTACATGATAATATTTACCCATTAAAATAAGCTTTAACAGTGTAGCATTTGAAGTTATTTAAAACTTGAATATTGATTAAAATACCTTTCTGACTTTGTAACTATATTATAAAAATAGCCACTAGTTTAGGCAATAAATTAAAGAAAGCAGACTTTCAAAAAAAAGGCTTCTATTAAGATTGGTGATTTTTTTAGTGTTTCTAAAACTGGACATTTAAAAGTATAAATATTGGTTTATGCTTTATTGTGTCAAAGATGTATTTCCAAATCAGGTGTGAGTATAAATGCATCCACAAACACTTCTCTGTGTCCCCTTTAACAGTTCTCTATGTCCCTAAAAACGTTGATTGAGAAGTGTCTTAAAAACCAATCTGAAAACTAACACACCATTGTAAAGCAATTATATTCTAATAAAGATGTTTAAAAAAATTGAAAGATAAAAACCAATCTGGGCTAAAAAGTTAAACTGAATAAAATTGCTGAGGGGAACCACGAACACTAATCTGTATGATTTTCACCGTGTATCTTGAGGAGCAGGGTGCACTGTGTCATTTTGTGCCCTCCCCGAACGGACATACCTTGACCAACATTTAGCATTGAGTTTGCTCTTTATATTTTGACATTTTCCCTTCTTTATTTTATAAAATTGGATGAACCTACTACATACAGTGTTTTTAAATGGACCTTTAAGTCCCTTTATAAAATATATTGAAATATTCTTATAACTGTGAAAAATAATTATTTTGAATTTTCAATAATTTTGATTAGAATCATAAAAGATATCAATTTTTAATATTTTGCTTCACAAAATTATGCTGAAAACTTAGTATTGTCTAATCTGTTTTCCGCTGAACACTAGTGACCTTCTGATGTTAACAGGTATTTTAACAGAGAAAGCCCCTGATGGACTAGGTAGGGGAAATGCAGCATACTCCGGCGCCCTCTGGCCGATTTGGCATGCATTAACATGCTAAAGCCTTGCCTCACAAAAAAACAAAAACAAAAAAAAACAACAAAGAAAACCTAGCTAAACTTGTTTCCTTTAACCCAGCATTTCCCAAACTTTTCCCAGAAAGTCCTGTTCACATCTCTTGGGAATTTAATGCTCTATGAAACACAGCTTGGGAATTGCTGGGGTTTTGAACACCTTATTCTTATTCGTGACACGTTATGTCAGAGATGCCCAGGAGAAAGTGACCAGTTTCCTTGGCAGCATCTCACAGGGTGGCAGTACCTTGGAATAGGCACTGAGTTCAGGCTCTGGTCCCTAGCATTGTAGTTCAAGAACACCATTTTCTCAGCTCCCCTGAGTTATCTGGTACTGTCCAACCAAGCTTGCAAGAGACTAGCTACTGGGCCACAGTGCAGATCTGAACATTTAGAAATGTGGGCATGTATCTTTCCAGCCATCCAAGACACCCTTTTCCTAGTGGCATTGTAGCAGGAACCCTGATACCTCATTAGCAATTTGCTCGGTGAGTGTGGAATCAGCACAGAGTGAACTGACTTGGGAGAAGCCTGATGAACACACCCTGCTCCACAGGAGTGGGTGAAATACTCTTGTCTGCCAGATGAGGGCGCATTCTTGTGGCCTGAATGGGATACACGCTGACAGGCCCACTCGCCCATCCCACCTGTACGCTTTGTGCAGGCGCAGGTAGCTGGGCTGCAGTACAGAAGCCTAGGGCTTTCCTTAGTAAGAGACCCCTCCCTGGTTTCTTGTTAATTAGACTTTGGGGTTTCCCACGCAGTCTCATAGCTGGGCCATTTCTACAGCTAACTAAGCATCTGCATCTAATGTTGATTTTCTTTGTATTAGTTTCACGCTCAGAAGGTAACCTTTTTTGACCTTATTTCCAAATTCTGGAGGCACCTTGTAATAGCTGTCTGTGTCATGATCACAGTGTCTATCTGTCACGTCAAGCCATTTCTGTATTAATGCTTTCTAACTGTGAACTTTAAATATGCGTAACAATTTGCTAGACTATGCAGCATGGTGTCCTGTGATGCTGAGCTTTGAAACTGTCTTGTACGGGGGGGGGGGGG